CTCCTCCAAAGTTATGGATTTATAATCTATCAATCATTTAAGAAATTTTTATATTGATAACAAAGTGACAACTTGGAATCAGGAAGGCCTGAGTTCAAATTCTACCTCTGATATTTAACTCTTAGCCTCAGTATTCACATCTGTAAAATTAGAGGTTTGAGCTCAATTAGAGGTTGAGTTATTCTAGAAAAACTTCTAGCTCCAAATCTACCCTGTGAACCCTAAATCTATAATGCTATCTATGATTATGTAGTTTGACTCAGTTTTTGGTTTGGGATTGTTTTTGTGAGTCCCACCCCCCCAGCAGTTCTTCATGTTGCAATTGTAAAAGTAACTGTGGAGGGGCAGCTAGGTGGCACAGTGGATAGAGCACCAGGCCTGGATTCAGGAGGACCTGAGTTCAAATGTGGCCTCAGACACATAACACTTACTAGCTGTGTGACCCTGGGCAAGTCACTTAACCCCATTGCCTAACCAAAAAAAAAAAAGGTACCTGTGGAGATTAATACATAAACTCTGAAAAAAATGAGTTGGCTGTGCTGTGTTGAGAAAACGTAGTTACTAAACATGTCTGTTTTCATTCTACTCTGAAAGCTTATAATATCTACCAGTTAATTATATCTTGCCCTGTGTTGTCTTAAGTTATTTTCATTATTTTTATTTGTTCATTTTTATTCCCTGCTAGACCACTAAGTTAATATATATTATGATTTTAAAAAGGAGATAGTTAATACAGAAACAAATCAGTACGTCAGTTGTTGAGAGTGCAAGGCCCTAGTTAAAAAAGATTTGTCCTTAACACTGTTCTGTATAGAGTTTTTTCCCCTTACAATTAACATTCTGTATAGGTTACATATTTTATCAATTCACTTTCTCTGTGATTTTTTTATGTTAAGTTTAATATCGTTTTTAAAAAAACTAATTAGAACTTAAGAGTAAGAGAACATTGACTAAACCTATTAGTACTAAAGTTGGATTATCAGTTATGTTCAAGTTTTAAAGTTTAAAATACAGCTCTTCTATGGACATCAATTTCAAGGAAATAGGTCTAAAATTTCCCTAAAAAAGGTTAAATCAACAGTGATGATCAAAAACACTAATATTCTAAGTTAGAATTCACATCTCCAGCTGCCTTTCAAACATCTCAACCTGGATATTCATTAGACATCTTAATATGTCTCAAACAGAAGTCATTATCTTTCCCCTAGACCCTACCCCCCTCCTATTTTCCCTGTTACTGTAAAAAATAACCCCATCCTCCTAATCCCTCAGGCTCACAATTTAAGAGTCATTCTGGTTTCCTCACTTATCTCTCACCCCTCATATCCAATCTGTTGCCAAGACCTATCAATTTCACCTTTGTAGCATCTCTCAAATATACCTCTTTTCTCACCTGACACTGTCACCACTCTACTGCAGGCCGTCATCACCTCACACCTTGATTACTGCAATGGCCTGCTGGTGGGTATGCCAGTCTCAAGTCATTCCCCACTCCAATCCATCCTCCATTCGTCCACTAAAGCAGTTTTCCTAAAGTATAGGTCCAATCTTCACCCCCCAAATGCACTCTCAACAACTGACGTACTGATTTGTTTCTGTATTAACTATCTCCTTTTTAAAATCATAATATATATTAACTTAGTGGTCTAGCAGGGAATAAAAATGAACAAATAAAAATAATGAAAATAACTTAAGACAACACAGGGCAAGATATAATTAACTGGTAGATATTATAAGCTTTCAGAGTAGAATGAAAACAGACATGCCTTCATAATCAGAGCCCTTTGTAACCTAGTCTTGTCCTGCCTTTCCATTCTTCTTAAACCTTATTCCTCAACACATACTCGGCCTTCTGACTTCTCTACAGACAAGATACTCCATCTCTCAGCTCTGGGCATTTCTCTGGCTGTCTCCCATGCTTGGAATGCGCTCTCTCCTCCACTCCAACTACTGATCTCCCTGGCTTCCTTTAAGTCCTGTCTTAAACAGGAATCCCACAGAAAGCCTTGTCCAACCCCTCTTAATTCCAGTGCCTTCCCTCTTTTATTTCCTGCTTACCATGTGTATATATAGCTGGTTTTGTGTATATTTGTTGTCTTCCCCATTAGATTGTAAGCTCCTTCAGGTCAGGGACTGTCTTTTGCCTCTTTTTATATCCCCAGTACTTAACGCAGTGCCTGGCAACTAGTAAGCACTTAATAAATGTTTATGGATTGATATAGCTACTTTCTGCTTTTGCAGGGGCAGTGGTTGAATGTTGAAAAAGATGTCAAAATGTGCTCAACAAGCAAAACATTCTTATTTGTTGATGATAACGTTGTTTATTGTTGTTCAGCAGTTTTGAGTGATGTCTAATTTTTATGATCCCATTTGGCATTTTCTTGGCAGAGATACTGGAGTAGTTTGCCATTTCCTTCTCTAGCTTATTTTACAAATGAGGAAACTGAGGCAAACAGGATGGAGTGACTTGTCCAGGGTTATACAACTAGTATGTATCTGAGGCCAGATTTGAATTCAGAAAAATGAGTCTTCCTGACTTCAGGCCTGGCACTGTATCTACTGCACTACCTGGCTGCCTTAGCTATTATTTATATCAAATGCCAAAACATTATACTGTCTAACAGTCCATAAGGAGACAACATGTCTTAATAATTAGCTCTCCTCAAAGCCAGAAAGACTTGAGCTTAAAGCACACCTCTGACACATGTTGGCTATGTGATCCCTGGGCAAATCACTTAACCTTCCAGAGCTCTAGACAACCAAGACTATAAATTTCAGAGAGAGTGCCAACCTACATGATAGAGGAGGTTCTGCACCAAAAGCTCCCTGAACCATTGACATCCCTATCCCTATTCCCTAACAATTCATATAATTTAAACATTCCTGTTGTCCAAAATGGGATAGCATTTGGAAAGTTAGTCCATTATAATTAGCATTAATTATTTGGGGAATATATCTTTGTCAAAGATGTTTTTTTAACTCAATAATTTCCTCAGATTCATAAAATAAAAAAAAAAATTAATTGTAACAAGCTGTACTGAAAATTTCCCTTTACAATAAAGGGTCTGCTAGAAAATGGAATGCTGTTAGAAATGCTGTTTTTTAGAAGTGCCATTTTAAGGGGCAGCTAGGTGGCGCAGTGGATAGAGCACCGGCCCTGAAGTCAGGAGGACCTGAGTTCAAATCCAGCCTCAGACCAAACACTTGACACTTACTAGCTGTGTTGACCCTGGGCAAGTCACTTAACCCCAATTGCCTAAAAGCCAAAAAATAAAAAAAAAGAAGTGCCATTTTACCTGAAATTTATGTGCAAGGTTAATGAATAAAAAAGCATTTCTCAAGGGTTTACTTTGTGAGTGGCACTCTGCTAAACACTGGACATATAAATGCAAGATCTACGTAATCCCTGCCTAGTAATTCAGGAAAACAACAAAAAAGAAAGGTCAGCTGGAGGGCAGATGGAAAGGTCTTAATGGTGCTGCTGGAGTAGAATAGATGGCAAGGCCCAGTGGTCCTTAAAGTTACATAGGTAATTAGATGGAGGGAAAGTTGCAGGGAAGGTTACAGAGGCAGGCCAGATAACAAGACCTGGAAGATCTTTGGAGGCAGTGACAGGGCAGATGGTAAAACCTGATGGTCCTCTATCAGAAAGAGCTCTTGTTGACTCTCATCCCGTCTAAGCCCCAGGGAAAAGGCAGGATAGGAGAGCACCCTTCGTTGTGGCTGTTCTTCCTACTTCCCCCAATCCTTCTGTCCCCAAGTCCCCAGTGCGTCCTGTGACTGCCCACTGAGAGGACAAAGGATAAGGCAGTCCTGGTGATGGCAAATCTTCCCGTCTCCTGGCCCTCTTGGATACAATTCTTAGCTGTTCATTAAAGCAAGCTGTCTCTCACAAAATGTCTTAACACCTAAAACCTTTTAGTCCTAAATACTGAAGGGTTTAAGTTTCTTAAACAATGAAGTATGTATTAACACACCTCCAATATAAAGACAGCTGAATCACCCTGGACAAGTCACTTTAGCTCTCTGAACCTGTTTCCTTATCCATAAAATGAAAAGTTTGGACTCGACCTTCCATCTCTTAAATCTATTATCATATGTTCTGTTATAATCCCAGGAAAATGTAGTTCAGGAGAGTTTTAATCAATACTAGTAAATTCCTTAAAAATCATACTGAACATTAACATACTTATAGAATACCTAAGAAATTTCTTCTGAGACCAGCCCTCTTATCACTCTGTATATATTAGGTTGCATGTACAAATGCCTCCTTTGTCCTAATGTCTTTTCTAAAGAATCAGTAGGAAGAAACATCATTTCCAAAGTGAATATCTGACTTTTTGCATTTACTACTTAAAAGCGAATATTACACTATGAGAAAATAAAGATTAGCTACAGATATTGTATTTCCATGAAACTTAATATTCCATTATATTAGGATATATAAGACATAATCTGTTTATTTATCACATTAATTTCTAAAATGTTCATTAGATATCTTTTCTCCCTTGAAAATCAGAAGGAAAATATCTCCCCTACACACAAATTTAACCACCTCCAAATAAAGCCTCATGGCCTTAAAACATTACCATTAATATACTAAAATCTCTGTGTTCTATAACTCATTGTAAAATTTGGTAGTCAAGCCAGCTTCCTCTCAGTTGGTCTTTTGGAGAAATGGATGGTTTCTTTAAGTATGCTAGTTGTCATTCATTATTTCATAGGATCATAGAGAGTTGGAAGGCCGTCAAGTCCAGCCCCCTCATTTTACAGACAAGGAAACTGAGTGTCACAGAGGTCAAGTGACTTGCCCAAGGTTACACAGCCAGTAAGTGTTTTGAGGCAGGATTGGAACCCAGGTCTTCCTGATTCCAAGATCAGCATTCTTCTGTTTTTTGATATGCAGAGTATGAGAAGAAGAAATTAAATTTGTAAAAGGTATCAAAATATTATTATGAAATTGAAATTAATTTTTCCTTTTCTTCTTTTTTGTTTTTTAGTCTGCCATTTTCAATTTTCAGAGCCTACTGACAGTAATCTTGCTGCTTATATGTACCTGTGCATATATCCGATCCTTGGCTCCTAGCCTCTTGGACAAAAATAAGACTGGGTATGTTGCTAACATCTGACTGTTCTAATTAATTCTTTCATGCACATCATCTGGCAGTTAGTAAATTAAAATTTCATATATATGCTATGAAATTTGCTTACTCTGTGTAAATTGGTTTAATAATTCTTTACAGTTTCTTCTACTTTTAAAATAAAGTGGAGTTTTACATTTATGAGTACTTTGTGAAATTAAAACATGGATTTGACAGGTGACCTTGAAGTGTTATACTAAAAGTGTGTATTATAAGAAGCCTATTAAAATCTTTCCTCTTGGATTACTGATTTAATTTATGACTTCAAAAGATATTCTTTGGCATTAGCTCTTATGGAATCATCAAAAACATGAATAAGGTTTAAATCATTTCCATTTGGGAAGCATATTTCACAGGTTGTACGTTACTGAGTGTATTTATAGTGTCTATAAATAAAAATAATAAATCTTACCACTTTTCATTCTTGGTACTATAGTTTCTCCAAGCCTGTATCTAAAATTATCTTCTAAGAATTTTATTTGTATTGCTTAAAACAGTAATGAAAATCAACTATTGGACATCCTGTATCTTTGTTAATTTATATTTTCATGTCCTATATGAAAAAAGTAAAGCAACATGCTGAAAACAGTTTATTGCATTCATTACCAGGTCCAATTTCTTTTTTCATTTTTCAGCTATTTTGAAAAATAACCTGCTATGTGCAAAGCACCGTATTAGACCCTGGAGAAGATGCTAAGATAATTTGGCTAGGATATATGAAATAATATAAACTTCAATGCTGTACAGCACCTACACTATTAAATACAATAACTACATTAATAAGTAACAATTGGAGAATCTTAAAGTACTCTCTGAGGTCGGAAAAAATTAATTAGAGCACTTGAGTTCAAATCATGCCTATTCTGTTTACAACTTCTATATCTGAAAAATGAATGACTTTGACTGATTGGTCTCTGAGGTTCCTCCCCTGTAAATATTATAATTCAGTAAAGGAAAGATTAACTGCGGAATATAAGGAAGGCTTGTTGAAAGAAATGGTTTTTGAACTGGGCCTTGGAACAGGATATCAAAAAAGGAGCAATGAAAAGACACTGCAGATATGATAAAAAGCACAAAGGTAGGAAAGCCCTGGATTGTGCTAAGGATGATGTGTGATTAGTACAGCTATGGTATGTAGTCCACAAGGAAGGGAGCAGTGCAGAATTGGGCTGGAAAAATGCCAGGTGGTGAAAAGCCTTGAGTTCTAAGCTAATAAGTTAATAAGCTAATAAGGAATTTTGATAGAGAATTAGAAGCCATTTAAGACTTGAGCAGAGGAGTACCATGGACGGAACTGAGTATAAGGAGTATTAAACAACAGTGTAAAGTTTGGGTTGAAGCAAGAGTTTGATGTAAAGAGCCAATTAGGAGGCTAAGAGTAGTCCATGGAGATAGTGAGGAGGACCTAATATAGCAGTGGCCATAGGAACAGAAAGGAGGACACAGAATCAAGAGAGATTAGATTGAAGAATTGTAATGGATAGGATTTGGTGACTGATATGTGAGAGAAGGAAGAATCAAACACACCTCTTGGACAAAAATAAGACTGGGTATGTTGCTAATATCTGAATGTTATTCAGGGATCAGTGTGTTTGTAATGTGCAGAAAGCTCTTTGAGTCCTGTCATTTTTAAACACTAAAATTTTTCTCACAATATCTAACTAACAAACTATATTACTACTATTGGATTGAAGAATTTCAGTTGACTATACAGAAAGTGACCTTAAGGATTTTAGTATCCTGAGGAGATGACAGTATAGCCTCTCTTCCTTCTTGAAGTTTTCTTCGATTATTCTGATATCATCTATCTGCAAACTCCAATTTATATGTGGCACTTATACATAGTTTGTGCCTAGTACAAGTGAAATAGTATAAGAGAAGCTTAAAGAGATGCAGGATTCTTGACTCAGTAAGAAGGCAGATGAAATTCAGTTTTATGTAGATATTAACAATCCAAAGAGCTTTTATGATGCCCTGAAGGCTATTTCTGGGCCAAAGATGTATGGTGCATCTCAACTACTAAGTGCTGATGGAGCCGCATTGATTAATGATAAATACATGATCCTGGAGACATGGGCAGAACACTTCCATGCTGGTCTAGGTCTTCTTATTTTTCCCAACCTGGAACTACAGTGTCCACTCACATGTCCAGTCTCACCACTAATCAGCTTGAGAGCTTTGACCTGCTGTCTTTCCTACTTGGGCCACTTTAACCTTCTATGGGCAGCCTGCTGGCCCTTCTACTCCTGGGGGCTCACCATATTAATGCTCAGTTTAGTGCACGTATCCAGTCAGCTTAGTCCACTGCAAGTCAAAACTTCTGAGCTCAAGTGAACTTCTAGCCTCAACCTTCTCAGTAGCAAGAATGATAGGCATGTACCACCACAACCAACAGTGGGGTGAATTCTTAACAAAACAAAGGCTAGAGGTAATTACAAAAGATAAAATCAATCTTTTTGATTACAAGAAATTGAAAGGCTTTTGCATGAGCAAAATCAGTGGAATTAGAATACAGAAGGAAGGCTTTGACTTAGGGAAAAAATTTTCTCAAATAACTTTTAAGGGTCTAATAACCCAAGATATATAGACAACCAACATTAATATAAAATATTCCAAAAGTCAATACGGCTTTAAACTATTAAGGATTTAAGCTATTAAAGCCTAAAACTGTACTAATACTAAGAATACTAAGACTTGTGGGTGACCTTGTATATAAGACCACAAACATTTTCCCATCAAATAAGTGATCAAAGGGATAGGAAAAAACAGTTCTCAAGAGAAGAGTTGCAAACTATTTAACAGCTATATGAAAGAAGGCCCCCAAGTCATAAATAAAAGAAATGCATATTTTTAAAAAATTGAAATTTTCCCTCACATTCTGCAAAATGAGAATAGTCAGTATTGAATGGGCTATGAAGACAAGTACATTAATGCACTCTTGGTAGAGCTGTGAATTGGTCCAACAATTTAGAATTATATAAGGAGAGTGACTAAAATCTCTGTACCATTTGATGTAGTAATTCCACTGGTAGGCCCCAGTGAATGAAAAAGCATGTATTAAGCAATTATATGCTAGACAATGTCCTAATAACTGGGATGCAAATATTGTGAGCAAGTAGGACAGTCCAGAAACTTAAAATCTAATACAGGAAGACAGCAATGGCTTAGTTCCTGGATGGACAAAGCAAAATCAAGCTCACCTATAAGAGCCCAGGGACCCTGGGACAGAATCTAAGTTCTGGTGGAAAGGGAATGAGGAGGTTGGCCAAAGTGCAAATGACATTTAGAATTAATGGAAAGAGGATAAGAGAGAGGAAGTTATCAGCTGGGGAAAACATTTCATATCAAATATTTGTTTGAAGATTCCAGTATCCAAGAAATATGAGAACAGAGAAATATGGGATAAAAATATATAATCATTCAATAAGTGGTCAAAGAATAGGAACAAACTCAGAAGAAGAAATATCTGGGAAGGGGTGTGGTGGCCTGCCTCTGGGCAAATTAAGGCCGAAATTCACCTCAGAACCTTTAGCCCCAGACACACAGTCCAGGTTACAGAGCGTGATCAGAGTACAGCAGGTGTGATTTGGAAGTGGCTAGGAAACAGAAGTCAGAAACGAGAAGAAAGGCCCTGATACACATTAAAACATGTATAGCAGCATTTTTGGTAGTTTCAAAGAGATGAAAACAAAGTAAATATGTGTCAATTAGGACATTAATCAATGGTATTACATGACCATAATGGATTATTACTGTGCTATAAGAAATGATGGGGGAAAAAATGATGGATATGGTGCCTAGATGGTGCCATTGTGCACAAAGCGCTAGGCCTAGCGTCAGGAAGAGCCATGTTGAAGCCTGGCCTCTGACACTACCTGTGTGGCCCTGGGCAAGTCACCTAACCTCTATTTGCCTCAATTTCTTCATCTGCAAAATGAAGATAATAACACCTACATCCAAGAGTTGTTGTGACGATCAAATGAGATAATAGTTGTAAAACATGAAGCACAGTGCCTGGTACATACTAAGTGGTCTGTAAATTTTAGCTATTACTATATTATGATTACAGATCAAGTAGAGGTAGGAAAGCTGTATACACAATGACTCACAAAAATTTAAGTGGAGAGAACAAAAATAACAGGAATTGAAATTGAATGCAATGAAATTATAGTGACCAAGGTCTGGTTCCAAAGAAGAGAAATGAGACAATACCTCCCTCCTCTTCTTCGCAGAGAGGGGACTGTGGGTATGCAGCAGTGCTTATAGTGTCAGATTTTATCAACATGTTGGCTGGTTAGCTTTTACTGAACTTATCTTTCTCTTTTTTTACTGCTAGGAGAACCATTCCTTATGGCTCTTTTGGTAGAATGGGGGAGTTTGTAGAGTGAAGGATACAATGAGAAACATATGTGATGTACAAAGGATACTATTTTTTATAAAAACAAGATAGTCCTTCATTTCCAGGAGAAGTTTAGGGCCACTAAATGAAGTTTGCAGTTTCCCAAAGGTAATCAGTCCAGTCCACTTTCCTGCTCCACTTAATTCTGGACTAAACTTCTTATCCCTTTATACCATTTCTCCTAGATACACATATTGATAGACAAGCTCTCTAGGTTTTCCATTCATCTTCATGCTGTCTGGGCAGGGCACATTGTCCATTTACTTATTCTTTTTGTATGAATGGTCAGGCCAACCTTCTTTCAATGTTTACAGATCTCTTCTAGGAGAATTTGCAATGTCATGCAATAATAACAACAAAAAATAACTTTGGTCAGTGATCACTGATCCTAAGCATCAGGCCAGGCAGAGAAATGTATTTTCCCATTGTGGTGGAGTTAGGGTCTAAGTTAAAGAGTGATGTCCTGTGGATGGCAAGATTCTCCAGATGCTTCTCTTTACAAAGTCCACTAAGCTAGTTTCATTGAGCTCTGAAACATTAATAGACTCTTAGCACAGAAATTACTCTGGATGTATATATCACTGATTATGATTATGACTCATGTCAGCATGTAATATTCATTATATGAAGCCACTTTGTTTTCTTGAATCACAGCTCTTTCAACTATAATAGAACTCTCCTACAAAGCATGTATTTTTAGATGACATTTGGTTATTTAAATAGATTTTATTGATACCTTTTGTCTTTAATCACAGTTATTTCATATGCCCCTCCAGATTGAACAGTTAAGCAAAAATCTCCAATTTAGTGCCTGTATCTGATAGTGTAGACAATATTTCACCCTAGTAGACCCCTGCTCCTCTACCATAAACATACGTTTCATTATCTCTTCTCTTTAACTTTCATTGACTTTTCATTTACTTGGAGTTGGACATACTTTTAGTGACTCTTTTACATTTACTTTGTTACAATCATTATGCATGTTGTTTTTAAGAGTCTATTGTCAACACAGTTGATTTCTTTAAAAAATCTTCATGTTTGTATTCTTATTTACATACATTAAAGTTCCATTTTATTTTGTCCTATACACAACATAATATGAATATGTGTTCTTCGGTTAGGAGAATGAATTTGTTTTCATGTCTGTGTTTTATCTGAAAGTTGCATGCTTTCTGAGAATCATATGGTATTGAATGTCCTTTAACTGCAAAAAGAGTATTCCATGCTCAAGTGGAAATGTCTAGACAGATTGGAGAAAGTGAGTTCTGGTGACTTCATGCTTTTAGTTACCTCACTGCTCAAAATAACACCTCTTTTTTTCTATTGCAAATATCATGTAAAGCTACAAAATTAGCAAAAAAGAATATTAATATTTCATTTTGTTTCTTTTTTCCATAGCATAAATATGATAGTATTATCAGCAGTAAAACACATTAGTACAAAGCCATAGTTGCCCAACTGACTGGTACTGTTTTTCATCGGCTGTCAAAAGTATTCCTGTTTTTGAGATGATGCAGAAATATGTCTAGGAAAGGAAGTATAAACAACAGACTGTTTGGGAGTTACAAAATCAACAAAGTATAACCCACTAAAGGTTCTTTTTAGATCTTAAAAGATTCTCCTCACCTTCACCCCCTCCTCCCAATTCACAAAGTGAATTATTAAGGCGGGAAAGGAAGGTTGGGGGTGGGGGGTGTCCACACTAATGAAATTATGGATTTTTGGAAGGAAAGGAAAGTGAGATGATACTAGGGTGCTTAATATTTGTTGAAATGAAACATGTTAACTAAAGGCTATGGTTTAACACAGTTTTTGAAAGTACAACTTTCAATAGCTGATGACCACTATTAAATTTCATTTGTAATGAACAAAATAATGGTGGCCCTTCTCTTCAAGTCCTGCCCATCTACATGTACCCTTGATCCCATCCCCTCCTATTTAATGCATCAGATTTCCCCCTTAGTCATCTCTTCATTCTCTCACATCCATTCTTTTCCTGTTTGCTGGCTCCAAACAAGCCTACATCTCCTTATTCCCTAAAAACCCTCAAGCTATCATCTTGTAAGAGACCATAGAGGCAGTTATGTGACCCTGGGCAAGTCATGTAACCTCTCTTTGCCTCAGTTTCTTCAATTATAAAATGAGGGTAATAATAATACCTGCATCACAGGATTATTGTGAAGATCAAATGAGATTATTATAAAAGGCTTAGCACAGTGCCAGGTATATAGTAGGCTTTTAGTAATGCTTGTTCCCTTCCCACTTGCCCTATTTCTCTATCCTATCTCAGCCCAACTCTTAGAAAAAAATCTATCTATACTCATTGCCTACATTTCCTCTCCTCTCAGTCATTTCTTAACCCTTTGCAATCTGAATTTTGATCTTATCACACAAATGAAACTGCTCTCTCCAAATTTACCTGTGGTTTCTTAATTGCCAAGTCTGATGACCTTTTCTCAGTCTTCATCCTTCTTGACCTCTCTGCACATTCGATACTATTGATCATCCTCTTCTAGATATTCTATCCTCTCTAGGTTGTTATGACTCTGTTCTTTCTTCTTTTCATGTACATCTGATGGGTCCATCTTCAGTGTCTTATTGAATAGGAGTTCATGTCACACCCCTCCCTGTGGCTATACTGCAAGGTACCCTGAGAGAGAAACGAGAGGCCCAGGTGTTAAGCAAGTCAAACCACTACTATCACCTTTAGCAGAGGTATCCAACATGCAGCCCTGCTGCCCTGGCCAGATTAAAATGTAATTGGGAAATATTTAACAAAGAATAAAAATAAATGTTAACACATTCAGTATCAGCTTGGACTTATATTTTTGCCCAGGGTATTTCCTCTAAATTAACAGTTTTGCTTTGCATTCATAAAGTTATTTATTATGTTTTCAGGAAAAGGTGAGGGGCTTGCATAGGATTTTATTGAGCCAGTATTCTCTTTCTGTCTTGGCAGTTCAATTCAGAGGTAGTAAGTAATTCATTCACCATCTATCTGTTTACACAAGAATAATTAATATACTTTTAAAGTGCCTAACAGAATGAAAAGTCAAATCATGCTTCAAAGTAAAACACTTAACAGCTTATCCCAATATGTGTTCCAGTGTTTATTTGTATGTAAAACTAGAGAGGACCCATCCTCATCCTGATTTTTCATATTTCAAAAGTGCCTTATGTTTTCTGGAAGCGCAGATGGCCTTATGAACAAAAGGACCAGCTTTGGAGTAGGAAGGCCTAGCGTTGGAGTCCTGCCTCTGATGCATAAATCAGCTATGAGATCCTGAGCAATTCACTTAGCCTGTCAGTCCCTTAAGCAGTTCTTCGGGACTCTAAAATAATGTATCAAAATCACTGTGAAGCTTAAAGCACAATGTAAACGTAAAGGGTTTGGGGGGGGTTTATTTTGGTTTCGCTACCACTATTTCTGTTATTTTCAAAAAGTAAAATCACAAGTCCTGATCAAATAACTAAATTCTGTGTGCATTTTAATAAATACCATCACTTAATTCACATGCAATTGTAAATTGTAAATTTCTAGTCACCTAAAAATTAAAAGAAAGTGTTAGTAAATAACTATTGTGCTAAATAAAAATCTATTAATGGATTTAGTCATGAAAAGGCAATTAGCAACAATGGAAAAGATAGTGTCTTTGGCATGCAGATACTAGAATTAGAGTTCATGTTTGCAGAGGAATTAAATATCACTACATCCTACAAAATTAATTTCTTATTATTGAATTATGAAAATGTCTACTTCACCATTTTTATAATCTAAAAATTTAAGAAATTGGTTGTAGTTTTCTCAATTGATTTTCATTTCATTTTGGATATAAATTTTCTGTTTCAAAGTATAAGTCATTTAAAGCTAATTGCTTCTGTCTTTGTGTGTGGTAACCTTTGTAAAAATTTCTCCACTCAACTACATTAATTTACCTTTAAGTTGACCTTTTGCACACAGATTATTTATATGAAATGGTGTTCTGGATTCATGTGAAAATGGGGAATGAGTAAATTTAAGATTCAAACAAAAGTAGCCAGAGGGGAAAGGCCAGCTTCTAATGAATTCATCACACCAATGTGGAAAAACTAACTTGTGGGAATAGTTTACCATTACAAGTATTCACTTGCCACTTTTTTTTTCCCCTTTTTATCCTCTACAGACTGTTGGGTATATTTTGGAAGTGTGCCAGAATCGGTAAGTGTTTCTTTTGTTTCCCCACCAATCCTTCAGCTGGAAGTTATTTATCAACTTTTTTATATTATACATACATGAAAGTCAGCTTTAAAAGTGCAGGCTTCCCAGTTTGGTGCTTTTTTGTAAAAGTTTGCAAATATCCATAAAATTCTTTGTTGATTGGTATTTAAAACTATGCTATGCAAACTACTGTATAACGTTTCATTGAAGAAGTCAGTGGGCCTCATCTTTCCTAACTCAGCTATATGATACTATGAAGTTATTAGTGAGAGCAAGATTCAAGCATTTATAGTTTATTATTTTTCTATAATTTATTTCATATTGCATACTATTTTGAATTACATATATTCATGATGTGGTTAGGGAATACTGGTTTTCTGTCACTTCACGATGAAGTGTTATGGGGGACAAGTAGCAAACATTCAATAGTGTATCAACTAACTCTCATGTTTTCATAGAGTGGCTATTTCTCATTGACTGTGGAAAAGGCTCTTTTTTAGCTTCTTAAATAGCGTTTAATAGAGTTTTCTCAAGATATAGAAAATACATTATTTCATTGAAACTGATGATCAGTTGCTATAATTCATGCATTTTTGGGGGAGTATGATTGTACCATTTAGGCTAAGTACTAATACTACTTACTGTTGCTTAACTTGTCTTTTAGTCATCTAAAGAAAATAAAATTTCTATATTTTATAACCGTAAGAAATCAGAAATGTCAGTTGTATTTACATATAACCTCATTTAAATTTTTCTTTCCTGAAAGTCATTGACCATAATTTTTTGAAAGTCTTAACCATATTAATTGAAAGTCTTAACCATAATTTTTTACTTTTATTTTTCCTAGACTTAGGTAGAAAAAAAAAGCTTAACTGCAACCTGAATTCATATATAAGCTTTGAACTATAGCTTTAAAGTAGATTGTAGAATCAACAAGGCATTTTCCTCACTTAAAATGCCACAATTTTGACTATATCTAGCTTTAGTTCCCAACTTGGAAGGTATAGAACACTCAGAGACAATTGAGATGAGGACAAATAATGAACAAGTTGAAAATTTTAAATTAAAAAAAGTAAAACCTATTAGGAAATGTTAAAATTAAAAGAGCCTTCAAAGAGAAACTTAAAGTTGACATATATTTGAAGGATAGGTAGGATGTGAAAGATAATAACCAACTGCTTATTTTTAGAGACTGAAAGTTGACTGGCAATTTACATTTTTCAGTGTCTGCAGTTTTTCTTAGGCAGACTAAAAAAGTCATTGAGTATAACCAAAGGGAGATAAAGTCAGATGAATCATAAGGAATATTCTCAATCATTGATTATAGCTTTGAAAGCCAAAGTTTACTGAGCACAAAACCAAGAAGCTTAGGAGAAAAGAAGGTGAAAAGAAAAACATAGAGAAGGATGAAGATGAATAGCTCCTCCAAACACACTGCCTCAGGATGGGAAAGGGAAAAGCAGCTGGACTAGAATAGCAACCTAGATGCATTCTCTGTAAGGGCAAGGAGCCACAAATACCCCAATTGCCTCTAATAATAGCATTAATACAGATAGTACATATTGATCAGTGATCTCAATAATGATCTTGGTTACTAAGAAAATGCTAAATTGTGGTCAATATGTTCTGTTTACAAAGTCAGAAAGTTCTATTGATTTTTTTTTATAGTTATACCAATTGTTTCCCAGTACACCCATCCCTCCCTGCCCTGTCAGAACTCTTCCTTCTAAAAAGGAAAAACAGTTAAACAAAACCAACCCCTCAGTTCCTGTATCTGACAGCATGTACAGCGTTCAATATCCATACTACCAACAGGAGAAAGGAGGTATTCCTCATGTGCCCTCTGGAACCAACATACGTCATTTCACTTGACTTAAACTACATTTTTGTTACTTTGTCATCCAATTTTACTCATTGCTTATAGCCTTCCCCAGTTCTCCTTTTTGTACTTTGCACCAGATTCATGCAGGTCCTTCCATTTTTCTCTTGATTTCTCATATATATTGCTTATTGCAGCTTACTAGCATTCCATTGCTTTCATATGTTGCCATTTGTTCAGTCATTCTCTTGTTGAACACCTGCTTGATTTTGAGTTATTTGCTACCACAAAAAGTTCTGCCTAGAATATTTTTCTATTTGCGAGACATTTCTTGCTGTCATTGTCCTAAAAAGGTTTTTTCAAATTCCATTAGAATGTAAGATCCTTGTAGGTAGATACTACTACTGCATTTAAGTACTTGGCACACTGGAAGCACTTAAACAGTGCTTATTGGTTAATTGTACTTTTAGAGAAGGGAGCACATATCAATGAGATCATGGAGTCATGAAATATTCTGTTAATTCTAAATTTAATTTAATTTTAAAACACCAATTTGTAACTTTTTTTGCAGTTAGTGATTTTCAACTGTATATTTTTGTTTTCTCACCCCATCTTTTTTCTTCATATCCTTTTTATATGAAGACTTGGTGTAGTATAGTGAACAGTAAATTGTGTATGCTTTATTGAAACCAGGATTTGAATTCCAGCTCAGTTCATTAGCCATGTGACCATCGTAAAATCACTCAACCTTTTTGTGACTCGGAAAGTAATAATCAGTCTTAAAAGATTCTTGTGAGGAAAGCTGTCCATCAGTGTTACAGTGTAATGCTATGTTAATGTGAGATATTACTGTCTTCCCTTGGATGCTGTTGTCACCTTCACTGAATATTTGGCACTATGGAGTTGAGCAGTTTAGAAATGGCAATACCAAAATGCTGTTTCCTCAACCAGATGTCTTCTTCTCTACACCCAGAATGTATACACAAACAAGGAAGCTTTTTTAAATGAGAAAATGCACAGTCCAGATCATCTCCTCATCTCACACATCACAACTGTTTTACATTCATTTTGCCCAGACCTAAAATCAGACAAGTGGTAACATGCTTACCAAGTTCAGCTGAAAGATGTTTAACTCTACCACATGGCAGTTTCTTTTAAGAAAATTAAGAGCAGAAAAATAAAACCCATATGTAAATTATAATGTTCAGAATTGGAGGAGGAGGAGGAAAAGAACTTCCTCAAAAATTAATTTCCAACAGATGGAAAATTGCAGACAATATTAATTTCCTCAGTTGTTTGAGGTTTAATAAAACTTTGTACTGGATGACGACAGTATCTTGCCATAATGACAGAGTGTGACAGTCTTGCTTTTGGGATCTATCACTGAAATCTGTTTGCATATGAATGGTAGGCTTATTTGGGGATCTTTTTGTTTTCCACAGCAAAATATTCCATGTTTCTGGAAAAAAAAACTGGACCCACAGTATTTTTTATGAGAAAGTTTTCAATTAATCAGTAGGATTGGAAACTTTCTGCTTTAACCAGTGGTCCTAGGTGCAGAGGTGGGGAACCTGTGACCTCAAGGCCACATGTGAATTTTTATGTCCTCAGGTGCAGCCTTTTGACTGAGCCCAAATTTTACAGAACAAATCCTTTTATTAAAGGGATTTGTTCTGTGAAGTTTGGATTCAGTCAAAGGGCCATACTTGAGGGCCACGTGTGGACTGGAGGCTGCAGGTTCCCCAAACCTGTTAGGAGGTAGTATCAATTAAGTAATGTCAGACTGAGGCCATTTTTCTTATGGCGCAACCCACTCCTCCTTCTGTACTGCTTTCAAAAAGAAAAAACAAACAAACCAAAAACCTATCACTAGAATTTTGATTCATCAAAAACAAGAAATTTGTCTTGTGTTCTCTGAATGTTTACATTGAGCGGAAGCAAAGATATTTGTTTAGTTCATAGTCTGGAGGAAGTAAAGTTTACTCAGGAAAATTTTGTGAGTGGCCTAAAGGATTTTAATCAATGAGGTGATAAAGATTGACAGTTCCCACAGGCTTGAACTTTTTAAATGTATGTATGTGTGGCATTTAAATGTAATAGAAATGGATAGAAATTATTATTTCTAAAATTGTTTTTGGTGTCCTTTTTGTGTTTTCGTCTTTGAGCATTTCTTCAAACCCATCTTACTGCTTATTATTGTCACCCATATATGCTTGTATTTCCTATGGGAATAATTACTCTCTACCAGGAAGTCATTCACATTTTAAAAATACTTTTGCTAATGTATTGATTTCTCTTTACATTGCATTAGATTTTTCCTGGTACTATTTACAACACACAAATAGTTATACAATTCATTAAGCCTAATTTAATGGCTTCAGCTTTCTTGTTTATCTTGAACTCTGGCTCTCCACTGCAGTTTTTTGTGCCTCTTCTTCCTAGACATCAGGAACTATAATATGACACAGACTATGAATTTTCAGGGCTTTCTGTATTAAAAAAAAAAGGCATGTACAGTAAGAAGTAATTCTAATGAGTTTAAAAGTAAAGATGAGGCAGCTGGGTGGCGCAGTGGATAGAGCACCGGCCCTGGAGTCAGGAGGATCTGAGTTCAAATCCAGCCTCAGACAGTTGATACTTAGCTAACTATGTGACGCTGGGCAAGTCACTTAACCCCATTGTCTAGCCAATGAAAAAATAAGGCAGTTCATACTTGATTATACAGCATTTGTATGTATATAATGGCTACAGCATTGGACTTCCAGTCACACAGGCCTGAGGTCGAATCCTGCCTCTGATGTTTACTATGTGTGTAACCCTTAGCATTTAGTTAACCTTAGTCATTTAATCACTTTCAGTCTCAGTTTTTCTCATCCCTACAACAAATATTATTAGCTCCTACCTCATAGGATTGTGAGAAACAAATGAGATAATACATGCACAGTTATGGGCCCATGTTAAGCACTCAATAAATGCCTACTGAATCAAAGAAAATAAATAGCTATATTTATTTTTTTTCCAACAGGTGAACGAAAGAGTCCTTATGTAGCAGTATGCTGTATAGTAATGGCTTTCAGCATCTTGTTCATCCAGTAGCAGGAAAATGCCAGAATTTAATTGCTGTCAGATTTCTATAGATAAAGGACTTCCCTACAGAAAACAATGGGAAGGATGATTATTGACCCTTTCAGCTGTGTACCTTGACTGAAAGACTCCTGGTTGCTATTCTCAATTATATGTGTTAATGGACCAAGGTTGTTCTCTATAAATAACTAAGACGCAACTATTAATACCAGAGTGGATTGATATCTGCCTGATGATCGACCTTATTTATAGTTCTGCCACTACAATGGCATTCTGTAAATGTCATTCTTTTATGTCAACTGTTGATCTACAGGAGGTATTTCTATCGCATACAGTAGAAAGCAAACTTGGTAAATGATTGCTGAAGTTCCATTCTGTATGATTCGGCGTGGGGGGGAATTGTATCCTTATATGAGAACATTTCTATAATGAACATTTTTTTTATTTGAGAAAAATGGTTGGATGTTATGCAAGGGTTCATAAAAATTGCATTTGTAAATAATAATGCTTTAAACATGTTTTCCCTGGACAACGCAATTTGTACTCAGTTTTATCTGTGGCTTACTATGTTTTACAACTTTATGAAGTCAGTCTGTGCAGTACACAGAGAAATTGCTAAGATTGTGTGTAAGAGTGTTACAAGAAAAGTATTGTTTTCAGATCCCATTACAAAAAACATGAATTCTTATAGATTTTCTCAATTAAAGCAAAGAATTATAAGGAAAGTTTGCTAGGGTATTTCCCCTTGAAATCTGGATCTGCATGCATCTTAAGCTTTTATTCAAATACCTGCTGCTAAAGAAAAAAACATTTTAAAGATTAAGTGAACTAATTAGAACAGTTGTGAAATGGTGGTTCCTATGTTTCATTGATTTGTATCTCAAGTCTTTAATAATGAAACAGTTATTTTCATTGCCAGAAATTCAAACTGTATTAAAAAAAAGACTTTGAAAACAGATCAGTTGATCCAAACAAATGATTTTTTTTTTGACAACTTGATCTGGTGTCTTTTAGATGTCTCAAGATATATAACTGGTAAATGCAGGTATTGAGCTGTATCAACGCCACTAATTTAGTATTCTCTATTCTTAAACATATTTGATACTAATCGCCTTCAGATTGAACAAAAGAATAACATCAGTAACTTTTAAAACAACAAATTACAAAAGTGCAATTTATGTACTCTGCAAGAGTGCAGTTATTTTTATGGATCTTCAAGGAGAAGGCAAAAAAGGAAATTTTCATGATTGAGTATGCTTAAAATTTCTTTGTTTCAACTAAATTCAGTCAGTTTCAAAGTAGAGTTCAAAACTTGTGAAACATTTAATTATTTTAAGTGGGTTCCTTGTGTTGGCAGGTTGTAGGCCAACTTAATAAAATTCTTGCTCAAATATTGGTGTGAACACATGTATAAATGGACTCATTGGGCATCAGTTGGCTTCCACCATTTGCAACCTTTGTTTCCCAGTTATTTGGTCTAGATCTGTAACTTTGTGTCCAATGAAATAATGAATTTCAAATCTGAGAAGGTGCATATAAAGCATTTAAATTACTTTCTTATTTATGACTTAAAGATCTCGATGAGAATTGCATCAGAATACTTCTTTTTACTAAATTAAAAATTGTCCTCTGTAGAAAATCCTAGTTGCTCTTTTCAGCCATTGTACTCAACCAAAAGTGAAAAACTTGTGTGGGTTTTTCTTTTTGCTACATTCAGAAACAGTCTGAAAATTTCTCATTTGTAGAACATTGTTTTCTTTTGTTTTCCATTTTTAAGTTAATTTTCAAGGAGGAAGAAAGTCACAGAAATAAAATCTTTTTTAAAAAATTAAATATTGTCTGATCGACATGATTGTGTTGGCAGTTATTCTCAATTTAGTGGGGAGGGGGCATCATCTTAAACCACGAATGCTAGGAAGCATTGAGGAAAGCTTATTACATAGGGTTTTTTTTTTCTGGTGGTGGGGAGGGGAATTGCTTTTTTCATTTAAAGAAAGAGATAAGTACTATAATGGGCTGTCAGTGTATTGATTTGTATTACATTTTTGGCACATTGGAGCCTGCTTAAAAGTGGTCTAATTTACTTCAGACAGGGAATCAAGTTGAGATCTGTTTCTGTTTACTGATACTTAATTGTAGCACTAGATCTAGGGTTTCTGGGGTATTTAATTCAATAAACCTTAAGCACCATCTAGGAGCTAAGCACCATACTGCACTCAAGGAGAGATCAAAGATTAGGTAAGACATGGCTCTTACCCTTATGAACTTACTAGTAAAGGGATATGATTTACACACACACACACACACACACACATACACAGATGTGTTACAGAATACCTGAGTGTATCAGTCACTAAACATTATTAATCATCTACTATGTGCCAAGCACTGCTGAGGCAAAAAATAGTCCCTACCCTCAAGGAGCTTGTAATCTAACGGGAGTACTGCAGTTGGGCTAGAACCATCAAGTATACACTTATTGGTGTTAACAGAGGTTAATATTAACAAACACCTTGATTTTAACAACAATCCTTTTTTAAATCTGTATCTGTAGCTCCTAGTTCATCCGTACATAGCATGAAATTGTTTTGGAATGTTCATTATGAGGAATGAAATACAGGATTTTTGCTGAGAAAATAAAACAGTGAGGTTCACTTTTATGTACCATGTAGATTGCTTTTAGTACAATATTTAGGATAGTTAAATCACTGATTTTAAAGTTATGTGAGCTATAAAGCTCTCTGAAGTGTTGTCATTTAACTTTTAATACATAGAGAAAAACAAAAGCCTCCCAATTCTCTCTGGGATGGGGTTAGAAGTTGGAAGATCACTACAGATAGTTCCCTCTGAGGTAGTCATTTTGCTCTTTGGATTATTGGGGAAAGTGAGTAAAAGGTGGAGGAAGAAATAGAATGCTATGGAAAACATTTGTGGCAATGTCACTGTGTGGATGTTGGGCAGAGTGGAAGGCAGCTTATTTCCTATACTAACCAACTATGCCTTATGTTTCAAATAGACACAAACTTATATGATTTTTTTAAATGCTGAAGATCCTCTGAAAAGAAGCAGTTAGCATTTTCTTTTATGTGTCCTTCAAATAAGGAGTGCAATTTTTTAATCCAAAGGACAGAATAGACTTTTTGAAACCCGTGACATGTGCCACCTTTTGTTCTGGGAGAGTGGAGATGTGGATTAAGGACAAACCCATTCTAGGAGATTTCTGCATAATAGGTTCATCTCTGACAGCCACTATATAGCTTACTTCAAGTAAGTTGTACAGATTGGGTGTGTGGTTGTGAGAGATTACAACAGAAGTAGAATGTATGAACTTACAACCCAAAGATCCTCTGTATGCTCCTGTCTTTTGGAGCTGATTTTGTGACAGACTAGGTGGGGCACATTGGATGTGGTGCCAGGTCTAGAATCAGGAAGACTTGTGTTCACATTTGGTCTCAGTAGCTATGTGACCCTGAACAAGTCACTTAACCCTGTTTGCCTCAGTTTCCTCATTTATAGAAAAATGATAAACTGTCTGCAGTAGAGTTTGAATGCTTGGCAGTTCAGCTCCAGAAAGGACCTTGGTGTCACCTTAATCTCACCAGTTGATCTTCAAAGTCTTCTTAAGACAATTCAAATGGAAGGGTCCAATTGTAAATAAGTTCACTAATGAAGGAGTAAAATAATTAGATTTGGAATCAAAGGACCTGATTTTGAATCTAGGATCTGTTACTTAACATCTATATGACCTTGGGCAAGCAGCTTCACTTCTGGACTTGAGTTTTCTTACCTGTAAAATGAGGACATTGGACTTTCAGAGGTCCCTTCCATGTTCTCAATCCCATGATCCTTACTGACTCAGAGGATCATAGATCCTCTAATAAATCTTAAGGTTTGCAAATCACTTCATACCTTATCTCATTTGATTTCACAACAGTCTTGGGAGGTGTGTCTTGTAGGTATTATTTTCCCCAAAGCTAGGGAAACTGAAGCACACAAAACCAAATTTAAATTTAAATCTCCATGACTTAAGGTCCAACACTATCCACTATTTTGTATTGTTTTGCAATACTATATGCAAGGTACTTTGTTAAGTATTAGGGATACAAAGTGAAGGTTACACAAGCAAATGTGACTTCATGGAAAATCATGAATACCTGAGCATTTGTATTTCACATCTACATATTGGCACCCTCAAGAAAAAGAAAGATTATAATAATCCCTTCAACCAAACAATATAGCTTCTTCAAGAATAGGTTTTTTCATAGCACTTATAGTATGCTTCAGTTACTGAGTAAGCACTTTAGAAGCCAACCTTCATAACTTGTTTAAGTATTAGTTTTGATATTCAGTTTTAAAATTTGGAGTTTGAAATTTTTGTCTTCCATCCAGCCCCTCTGCCAATCCATTGAGAGTGCAAGCAATATGATATTTATATATGTGAAGTCATGCAAAAGCATTTCCATATTAGCCATGTTACAAAAGAAAAAAACAAGAATAATAAAGTTAAAATATTATACTTCAGTTTGCGCTCAGAATTCATCAGTTCTCTCTCTGGGCATAATTTTAAATTGCTTTCCAGAGTAGTTGCTAGAGCTAAACCATTTCACAGTTCCAGGTCCTTCCACAACACCTTCAGTATTTGTCATTTAACTTTTTGTTATGCTTACCAATTTTATGGGTATGAGATAGAACTTTGAATTTGGAATTATCTTATTAATAGTAACTTCTTGATAGGTTGTTGATAGCTTGGATTTCATCCCGTGAGAATTAAATGTTATATAATTTCATAACATATTATATATTAGAAAATTGCTTGAGAACTTATATGCATCTGTTCTTTATCTTTAATGTCAGATTTTTATCAGAGAAACTTGCTTCAAATGTTCCTTCTACCTCTGAGTTAATTATTTCTCATCTTATTTTTCCCACATGGATTTGTATTTGTAGAAGCTTTGTAATTTTATGTAATTTCAAACTGTTCGTTTTATCTCTCATGATCTCTATACATTGTTTACTCAAGAATTCTACTATAATATATAGTCATTAAAGAAATATATTCCCTGAAAAAAAAAGAAATAACAAGTATTCAATCTTTGTTTAATTAAGTTGAAAAAAAAAGAATTCATCAGTTCTTTTCTTGGAGGTGGATAACATTTTTCATAACGAGTCCTTTGGAATTGTTTCAGATCACTGTATTGATCCTGCTAGCTATCATTTGTAGCTAATGATACCTATGATTTACATGGCACTTATAAGGTTTGCAAAGTGCTTTCATGGGTATCATTTGATCCTCATAACTGGGGTAGGTGCTATTATTATCCCCATTTTAGAGATCAAACTGACAGAGATTAACTTACCCAAGATCACATTAGTGTCTGAAGCAGAACTCAAACTCAGGTTATCCACTGTGCCACTTAGCTGTGTAATATCAGTTATTACTCTAATAATAAATGAATATTATTGAATTCCATTAACATGGAAGCCATGTAGTATGGTGGAAAGAGTGGCAGATTTTGAAATGAGATGATGTGTGTTCAGATCTTGACTCTGCCACTTATTATTAATGTAAACATGCTTAGCTTCTCTGAGGGCCCTCAGTTTCTCAAATATAAAATAATAGGTTTGAATTAGAAGGCCACTAATGTCCATATGAATGAAAAAATTATGATTCTCTGGATCATAGGATCATAGGATTGAGAACTTGGAAAGCCTAATGTCCTTATTTGACAGAAAAGGAAACTCAAGTCCAGAGTAAGCTGCTTGCCCAAGGTCATATAGATATTAAGTAACAGATCTCAGATTCAAAATCAGATCCTTTGATTCCAAATCAAGTTCATTCACTCCATTATTAGTGAATTGCTTCCATTTGAATTGTCTTAGGAAGACTTTGAAGATCACTTGGCAAGATAAGGTGCGGGAGGAGGGGGGGAGCTAAGTGGTGCAATGGATAGAGCAGCGGCCCTGGAGTCTGGAGGACCTGAGTTCAAATCCAGCCTCAGACACTTGACACTAGCTGTGTGACCCTGGGCAAGTCACTTAACCCCATTGCCTACCCAAAAAAAAAAAGATAAGGTACATGACAGTGAGGTCCTTTCTTAAGCTGAACTGCCAAGCACTCAAACCTACTGCAGAGAGTCCTGTCTCCAGTGGGCTACTCATGTTGTTTGAATTCCAAATGTACATTTGATTAAAAGATTATATTTTATAGAGAGCTCACACAAGGGAAGTGCTCACACAAAAGTCAGAAGAAGCAATACAAGAACACTCTCAAGGTAATCTCTGAAAAACTAGTATTGACTGGGAAACATGGGAAACACTGGCACAGAACTGTTCAGCGTGGCATGCCTGCATCAAAGAAAGCGCTGTGCTCCATTGTGGAGGGCCAGAGCTG